TAGAACAACTACCGTTCCTCAGCAACAGCGCCAGAAAGCGTGTTGACACCTAAAGTGGCAAATGGGTAAACCGCAAGCGTACGGTAGTCAATGTACCCTTCACTAGGTGTATTCTAGGTATCGTATTTTCATGGGGAACGTGAAGTGAACAAACTAAGGATCAAGACCGCCCATAATGATACAAAAGAGCCTATGGAACTTGGGTAGAGAGGATCTAAATAGCAATGATATCTGGTAAAGATAGTAGTTATAAAGGGTGAATCACCCACCTTGCTTACCGGAGGCGATAGGCGAGACAATAGGGCATAAAACCTTGTTACTGGAGCCGTACCTTTTAAGAACTTGCCTACAACACGTGGTGGACTACAAAGGCTAGACAGGGTTGTAACCACCTGCTAGCTACCACAAACAATCCGTGCGACAAGCGGTCTACATAGGCAAGATACAGTGGACACCATGTGTACACTATACTTACTACTCTAACCTCGTCCAACTAAGTTCCCTTAGAAAGGCTAGAGCACTCTACTGAAGTAAAGCGGTGTACAGGTAAGAAGGCTATATAACTACTAGCAGAGACAGAATATCAAATGCTATAAAGAACTCAGATGTATTACTTACTAGAAGATAGCATCCGCTAAGGTACACCTTGGAGAAGATTGTAACAACCCAAAAATCCACACACCAAAAATCCCAACTACAAATTTTTTTTCTTCAAAACCCCATGTGATGATGAGTGACATTTGTAGGAGCTAACCCCAAGTGTTGCATTGGTCGTAATCCAACTAAACAAACTCATAAGCATATCATGTCACTTGTTGTATATGTGTGTTTAAAATCCCTAACACATACATTCTTGCATGCATTTTAATTCTAAACAAGTGAGTTGCCTTTTATTGATCTTTTGTTGTGCAAATAAAAGTGACCACTTATAATTAATTTATTATGCAATAAATTAATCACCTAAGTACCACCTAAGTATGTGGGCCCCACCAACCAGCCCTAAGCTCCACCCTTAATCAAGGTGCACACTTGTACAATGAAACTAAATAAATCAAACCCTAACCAAATTGGCAACAAATAAAAGAGAAAGGAAAGAAGAGGGAGCAGCAGCAGCCCAGGCCTGCTCGGCCTTGCGAGCCAGCCCGGCCGAGCCCGCCTGCCCTCCCACTCGAGCACGCGGCCCACGAAGCTGGCCCAGCAACACCCTACCGCCCCCGCGCGCACAAGCCTCTGACGAGCTAGACCCACCCGTCAGCCGTCATGCACCGCACGCCGCCGCATCAGGACAAGCTGACAAACGGGCCCCTCTGTCAGCCGCCTAGCTACAGCGTCGTCGTCATCCCCACGCTCCCTCCACCACGCGACCGGGAGTCGACCGCGGAGCAGGCACGGGCCTAGGGTCACGCACATCGCATGACCCTGTCCGCCACCTTAGCGCCACGCCCACGCAACCGCCCCCGCACGCGAGAGCCGTCCGATGCACTCAGCGCATCACCAGCCGTTCCACCATCCGCCATGGATGAGCATGGAGCTCGGCCTATAAAAGGAGGACTCCGAACCCTAGCCCTCCATTCACCTCACCACCGCCGTGCGGTTCGCACCAGCACACTAAGCCGAGGGACGAGAGGAGAAGGAGAGGCGCGGAGGAGGACACCGCTGCTGGAGTAGAGGAAGGCGCCACCGTCTTCTTTCGCGAGCCGGCGCAGCACCACGCACCGCTACACGGCCGCACCATCATCACCACACCACCACTCCGTACCGCCAGCACACCGTGGTGAGCACCTTGGCTGAGACCTCTCCAAGCCCATCGGGAACACCATCGCAAGGCATGCGCTCGCCGCGCTCGCAACACCCCGCGGCGTGAGGTCACCACGGTGTGGTTATGCGCCATCGCGGCCAACACCACCCTCGCTACAGCCCACGAACACGTGATGCACCCATTTAGTGATGAGGAGAGCATGGGAGAGACCCTGACCACGGGGCACGCCGGAGCTACCCTACCGCGGAATCCCACCGCCATGGCGCGGCCACCGCATGCGCATCCGGCCACCTCGCTGGACTAGGATTGGCCGTAGAGCACTGCCGTGACACCTGGATGATAGCCGTATAGACCAAGAAGCCTTTAGCCAGCCGCAACGCCTTGGCCACGTGCACCGGACCTCGGGCGAAGCTCCATCGTGCACCACCACCGCGTGCGGACTCCACCGCGCCTTATGGTCGTCATCGACGCTACACTATGCCTTCCCGCTAACTGTCTGAAGGAAGACGGGGCACCAGGACCCCTAGAATTGCCCCTAGATGCCTCGCCGACGAGCACTGCCACGCCGAGCCGCCGTTCACCATGGCCAGAGCCCTAGGAAGCCCTAGCCGTCGCCCTGACCCCACTATCACAGTCGCGATGGCATGGGGAAGCTATTGCCTACCCTAATCGGACGCTAGCGCCGCCGCGGGGGCTCGCCGGTGACCTCACCGCCGGCGGGAGCCCCGTCGGGGAAGAGAAGGGGATTTTCCCCTCGCTGGCCACACGTCCGTGCACTTGGTACACGTGAACCGAACCCTGGGAAGGAGTAAGTGGACCAAGTCCTTCATAGACCGGCTCTACGGTCTATGGACCAACGCAGGTGGGTTCACCATGAACCGCGCCTCACCTGCGCCATTGACCACGACCCGTTAGTGGCCCAGTAAGACGACGTGGCCGCACCTGCGTGCGCCACGTGGTGGGTCAAAGCCCAGCCCGTATCCAGGCCCAACTAGCCCAGTTTGGACCCAGCCTGGTTGACCATTGACCGATCAACGTTGACCGTTGACTGGGGCCCACATGCCAGCGACACAGAGACTCTTGACCCACATGTCAGGAGGTGACGTCATGATGACATCAGCGGGACCCACCTGTCAGCCGTGGTTTAGCTCTGATGACGCCATGCTGATGTCAGCATGCCACATGAACCAGTCACAGTGTGACACGTGTCAGCCCTGAATTAATTAGCCTTTATTATTTTCCTATGTAAAACCTCTGCAGAGTGTATGGTTGATCGATCGATACATATGCCGACTTGTCGGCTATGGACCTTTCCTGGGTTTCGCTTAAACTAGATAGTGAGATGATTCCTTCTCTTCTTTCCCCTGTGAGTGAGTGTTCGGTAGTAGCCAGGGGCTACGGGCCATGAGACAGTGCCAAGAGAGAGTTGGCCTATCGACTGAGCGATGGTATGGTGGTGATGTGGTGATGGTGTGGAGATGGTGGTATATCGATCACAGGATCGAGACCTGGTTCTGGACAGAAATGGGGTGGAATAGGTGTGGGAATGGTGTTAAAACTTGACCAACTATTATTATATACTTGATATGCTATATACTTGAAATAGGGTGGAATAGGTGATGGTGTGGAACCTCAGCCTTATAGGTTCCTTTTGATTATATCCAACTTGCATCCAATTTCCACAAAGCAATGCTCATAGGGTGGGAGTGGCCAGTACAAATCATATTGATAAACTTTGGCACACAGGTTCTGCTGAGGAGTATAGCTCTGAGGAGTTTGACGGTTGAGGGGTTCGTTCCTACGCTCGAGTTTGGCGATCTTATCTTCAAGCTGTTCTGAATGAATGCTACTTTGATTCCGCCAATGCGGCGATGTAATAATTTATGTAATTCCGCACTATTTGTACTCTGATATTATGTTGTATGGATGTGATATTCGACTGGAATTTGGGTAATATGATCTACAACGGTCTTATTACACTTCGACTCTGTGGATTTTCCTTCATGGAAATCATGTCATTTCAAAGACTCCCGACAGGCTCGGGGCTTTCTCCTGCAGACTTCCCTCACTCTCTCCCTAATTGTATAACACTACAGTAGAGCTTCGCTAAAAGCTACTAAAGAGTGGTTTACTCTAATGCATCATGAATGAGAGTGAAGTCTAGGGGGGTATTTATAGCTAGAGTGAGGGGTAGTGCCATGTCAGCAATCCAAGTGACTTCTCCTAGCCCTTGGATCAAACCGACCTTTGATCAAGGGTCCAAATCAAAGAGAGTGCATGGAGGCATGCATAGAGGCGGTGCACCAAAGTTGAGCTAGTTTAGCCACCTAAGGAGGTTAGCTGACCTCCCTATGGCTGGTGGGCCATGTCACCACCTTCTAGAAGGTGTCCCCATGTGTCATAGTGAAGGTTGGATACTTTTGTCATGTTGGATGCTTTGTTGTGGTCTCATGAATCCTTGTGCTTTCCCTTTTAGCCGATAAAAGAAGAGAACCTCGAGATCCAAGGGTGGAGATTGACTCTAGAAGTGTTGGGAGGATCGTGGGAGGCTTGAGAGGGGATAGTGGGCCCATGTTGAGGTCGGGCAACCTCATGATGGAGCCTTCAGCCACCCAAAGTCCATGCTTTGTGTATCTACAAGCAAATAATGACATGTACATGTGGAACCAAGTTATTTGTATCTAAGTGACTATATTCTTGTTAGCTCCCAGAAAGAGTGTTTTGTTGATGGTTTTGGTGATGTAAAAACATGGTGAAGTTACCATCAACAAGACCCCACACTTAAGTCTTTGCTCGTCCTCGAGTAAAGGTTAGAGAGAGAAAAGAAGACAATGATCATGACATCTTCAAGATATACAGCAATCATGAGTTTTATTCAAGACATACCTTATACAAGTGGGTTATATGACACTGTCTAGCATTGTTGAGAAATGGAACAGTTATGCTTAACGAAACTACAAGACACGGCATAGTGGTGGAGCTGAGGTTGGCCAAATGTGAGCGAATTACAGCTCGAGCAGCGGGTCGTCTCAGCAGCGAAGCCATGGAGCTCCACCATGCCCGAGCCCGCCTTGCAACAGCTCGGCCCTGACATGGTCCTGCTGTTGTTGCTTCACGGACCTGGGGTAATTCCATTGCAGGCAGGCCGAGCTCGCCCGCGCCTTCCGCGGTTGCCGGGGATGAGCTCACCGGCCACCGGTGTGGCGCCCAAGGGAACGCATCTACTGGCGCTGCGCATGCATCAGGGCGAGTTGTCATCGCTGTCACGCATCAGACCGCCCCGCCGTCGCTGTGAAGAGACTCCACTTGCGTGGTCTTCCTTAGGGCCGATGGGGAACCGCTCGACGGAGCCAGGTGCAGCCTCGGCCGCGTGCGTGCTCCGGCGAGTGGGCAGTGATGGTGAGACCACTTTTTCCTCTCTCCTTTCCCCTATCCAGATGCGGATCGAGGCATTGGTGTCAGTGGCGGACACCTTTGACTCGTGCGGCTCCTGCTGCTGCACGATCTGAACAGAGGGATTATAGGTGACGGCGTTGTTAACGGTGACGAGAGTATGCGGTTCAAGGTTGCGTTGAGATTGTTGTGCGGGACACGTGTGAAGAACGAACGAAGGTCTTTTAGATAGGGAAAAGACCAGGTCTCTTAGAATTTGCCTCTTCGCCGCCGGCGTCTCGCCGGCAGGCAGAGGGAGGTGGGCCGGCCCTGGTTCCCTGTGTACATAGTAGATACTACTGTAATCGCGGCTATCCTCTTGCCATGGAAGCTGCTGTACTAGCTCTCTTCTTTGAGCTTTGTGTCGGCTGCCCTGGATTCACAGAGACCACCTACCAAATAAAGGCTCCCTTCACCCAGCTCGATCTGCTGGTGCCCACAGTTGATCCGTTGGATTGCTCGCGACTCTTCAACCCTGCGGCTCTTCAACAGAGCAGTCGAGCAGAGCTACAGCCTCTGGGTGCGCGCGCAGGTGGACCATCGCGTGCACCTGTTCACGGCCAGCAGGGAGCTGCGCCCGCGGCCTCGCGTGGCCTGCGGGTGGCGCGCACTCGTGGCACGGAGGCCGGCCACCAGTCAACCTGTGGCTGGTTCTTCATGCCTGCAGTGTCTATGGGCCGGGGCATGTCTGGCCATGAGCGCATACGTGCCCGCGCCCCTGTGCGTGAGCCGTGTGGCCGGGTCGCTTGCGGTGGCAGCGGCCTCCTGGGCCTGTCTGCCGGCGCTCGCGCTCGAAGTGGACAGAGGCAGCGGTCGACGGAGCGGATCTAGATCCGCTGTGTGTTGGCTCAGCCAAAGTCATGCAGCGGCCGGGCGGCTCAATCCTGCAGAGCAGCATCTCTACGGCTCCATCGGGCTCAACTCCAACAAGCGGCTCCTCGGCGACGTCGGCATCTACGACGGCGACCATCGCAGCTGTAGCCGCCGTCTCTTTCGTCGGTGCTTGTGTGGTTCGCATTGGGTCCCTGTAGCTGTGATGTGGGGTCCAGCTGCTGCGTAGTGGGCCCTGCCTGTGCGACGTGTACCGCATGCAGGATGCTCCGGTGGCCTTCTCGGCTTCAACAGGGTGACACGCGCCATCCAACACGGAAGCTATACCTCCAACTCGGTTTATTTCATCGTAGGTGTGGTGCGTATACAAAGCAAGTTTATGGTCTTCAGCGACCTGCTCTTCTGTTCTCTGGACACATGGAAGTGGGTAAGCAGCTTCTGGTGTTCTTCCGGTGTTCGGTTGACCGCCAACCGGCATTGTTGCAGGTCACATCGATAGTTGTTGAACCATTTTATCGAGTCCGGTGAAGCTTATACCTTATCTACGGCTCAGACTTTTTATCCTAAAAGACACAGGTCAATCTGGCAGTCGAGGGAAACGCTGGCTATGCTATTAGAGTGTGAGAACGATGACCCTCGATATTTTTGTCATGGCCATTTCTCTTGGGCCCGGTGCCTCCGACGAGAACATCACCTACGTGTTCAAATGCAAATTGGTGGTTTTTTCAATAGCTTGCTTTGTTTTCTAGGAAAGCTTTTCCCACTCTTGTAACGTGCTTTAACATAATATATTATTAGTTGCTGTTGTAAAAAAAGGATTTATGTGGGAGGTTTCTTCTAAGTTCAGCTCCATGCTTTACTAGTAAATTGCATGCGCCCTTGCACGTGTCGACCTAACTTGGCTAAAAAATGTTGGGTGACAATGATAGGGTGATACAATTGTTAATACAAATCTGGGATGAGAAAGAGTGGAATTCGATTTCAATTAGCAAAGCACACATTTATTAGAGAATCATAAATGACATTGGTACAATGTTTAACAACTGATGAGTGGTACCTACTCTAGCTATTGTTTCAAGGCAGGGCATCATCTGTACAACGGACGTTTTACACCATAAAAATCTTGTCTGTGTTGAAAATCTTTTCATGTATTGTTTTCCACAGGCAAAAGTTTAGCCATGTTACATCGAATGTTTGATACATGAATGGAGTATTAAATATAGACTAATTACAAAACTAAATGCACAGATTGAGATTAATTTGCGAGACGAATTTTTTAAGCCTAATCAGTCCATGATTTGACAATGTGGTGCTACATTAAACATGTGCTAATGATGGATTAATTAGGTTTAATAAATTCGTCTCGCGGATTAGTGAGGACTTGTGTAATTTATTTTATTATTACTATCCAAACACTCGATGTGACACTCTCATGCGACACCCGATGTGACATCTCTAAACTTTAGTCCCTGGATTTAAACACCCCGGGGTGTTTGGATCAAATGACTAAAGTTTAGGAGATGTTATATCGTGTATCCGGATACTAATTAGAAAGACTAAACATGAACCTAATTAGACTTAATAGATTCATCTCGTAAATTAGTCTCAATCTGTACAGTTAATTTTATAATTACTCTATATTTAATACTCCAAATTAGTGTCAAACATTCAATGTGACAGGAACTAAACATGTTGCTAGCATAGCCTTCCGTTTTCTGTGCCTGAGCTTTAAGTACTTCCATGAGGTTACTGTGGTCAGGAAGCAATACTTATCATAAGCACCCACCTGCTGATGTACCATGGAAATGTTTTCGGCCTAAAGATAAAAAAAAAATACTTGTCAGGACTTCAAAGAAACAGTGGTGATTTGGTAACGAATCTGTAAACAGTTAAATGATTTTGCATTCAGCTTACAAATCAGTTGTTTATAGATCATTGAAGGAAACAAATGTTGTTTTCACCAGCTGGCATGGCTTTGAAAAAAAATGATTCATGGACGAAACCAACAACAGTTAGCTGGAGACCCCGTGCTATAAATATAAGCCGAGAAATCGACATGCTTGCATCTGTTCTTTCTACTTGGAGCCAAGAACAGACACCATGCTATGAAACATATTGGCGTAAATAATCTGTAAATCAGAATTTGAACATGGGACTACCGTAGACTTAGGCATACATTCTCTAATTCATAAGCGACCTTAGTTTCGATGATACAATAGTAGAAAAACTACCAACACATGTCTATATCTGGCTGGCATTTTCCCCCTCAGTACAGATGGTTACAATAACTATGCAAAGCACACTTGGAATGGTGGTAACAAAATTTTCAAAAACAAAAGCAATCAGTGGATTAGATAAGCAGACATTTAGGTGGTCTTGAGGAGCACTTATATTTAGTAATTCACAAAATTTCTACTGCCCATAGGCTCAAGATATAACCAGAAACTGCCAACACTAAATCATGTTTCGTTGAGCATAGTCTGCATAGACAAAGTATTTGGAATGAAAGGTAGAATGAAGCAAAGTAAGGGGGAAAAAAGGTATGCCGATGATGATAAAATTGACCGAAAGTAAATTCACTCGCGAAGAAGAGGCCTGCCAACTAACCATATACCCAAAATTATCGCATTAGGAAATTGGAGTAAATTAGAGGCACAAAGCACGCAGTTCACACCAGGTGTGCAAACATCTTCCACAATCTTCGCGAAGCTCAGCAGTACATCTTAATAATTAGAGGCACCTTAGACCTTCTATTTAAAAGGAGCTAGGTTTAGTAAATCACATAGTCATTGTCATGTGGGGACGCACGTATACTAGGCGCCGACGGGCGCGTGACGTGCGGTGCGCCACAGAGCGCGCGATCCGCGCAGCAGCCGCGCGGGAAGAGGCCGGCGCGAGTGGTTGAGAGGAAAGAGAGATTAGTTTCCTTGTTATTCCCTTAAGTCTAGGAGAGGTTATTTTCAGGAATAGTTTGTTGCCAAGTTGGTTAGGCAGGCTGGCCTATTTATCTGTACTTCCGCAAACAATTGGGAATAAGAAAGATATTACCATCTAATCTCCTATCTCCTTCTCTCAACTAAGCCTGCGGCAGGGGAAACCTCGCTGGAGAAGACGACGGACCGAGGCTACGAGTTGCGTAGCCGAGGGCCAGCTATCCGAGGGTTTGACGCCCTTGACAACCTGGTATTACGATCCCGACGATCCTCGCCTTCCCGATCCACCCCACCACCAGCCGCCGCCACCCCACCACTACCAGCCGCCGTGCCACCATCCCCGACGTCGTCTTCTGCAGCATCGTGTTCGGCAGCCATGGGTGACCAAAGTGACCTCAAGGCCACGGTGGAGTCGCTCGCCGAAGTCATCAAGTCGCTGTAGGCCACTGTCGAAGCCAACGCCAAGGCCATCGCCTCCCTCGCCGTCGACCGCTCGTCCTCCTCGGGCAGCAAGGCGCCGGTGTCCGGCGAGTACCATAACGACCGGCCGCAAAAATTCCAGAAGATGGATTTTCCCCGGTACGATGGCAAAACCGATCCCCTCATCTTCTTTAACCGTTGCGAATCCTACTTCCACCAGCAACGCATCATGGAAGAGGAGAGGGTCTGGATGGCGTCGTACAACCTCGAAGAGGGTGCCCAGCTGTGGTACATGTAGGTACAGCAAGATGAGGGCACGCCGTCTTGGCGGCATTTCTCCGAGCTGTTGAACCTGCGTTACGGGCCGCCGCTTCTCTCCACCCCGCTGTTCGAGTTGGCGGATTGCCAGCGCACGGGCTCGGTGGCGGAATACCAGGACCGCTTCCAGAGCCTTCTGCCGCGCGCGAGGCGACTCGACGAGGCGCAACGCGTCCAGCTCTTCACAGGAGGTCTCCTGCCACCGCTGAGCCTCGCCGTGCAGATTCAAAACCCGCAGTCTCTTACAGCGGCCATGAGCTTGGCCCGGCAGATGGAATTGATGGAGTAGTATACTGTCGCCAAGCCCAAGAGCGCAGCCCAGGGACTTCTGCCGGCCCCTCCACCGCGTCACGCCGTGCCGGCTCCAGCAGCGCCCAAGGCCGCCCCACCGACGGTCACCATCGATGGACGCCCAGTCAAGCGCCTCTCCCAGGCGGAACAAGAGGAGCGCCGGCGCCTCGGCTTGTGCTACAACTGCGACGAAAAGCACACACGCGGCCACAAAAGGGTGTGCAAGCATCTTTTCCTCCTAGATGGCGCCGTGGAGGTCGACGATGCCGCCGACGACACGGCCACCGAGGACGAGGCCGTCGAGGAGGCCCCGGCCTACTCTCTCCACGCCGTGGTGGCCATCCGAGCCCACAACTCCCTCTAGTTCCGCGTTTTGGTGGCCGGTGTGCCGCTGATCGCCCTCCTCGACACTGGCTCAACGCACAATTTCATCTCGGAGGGCGCAGCGCAGCAGACCGGGTTGCCCATCCAGAGCCGCCCGCGCATCACTACGACGGTGGCCAACAGCGAGCGCGTCTCCTGCACCGGCGTGCTGCATTGCGCCGCGTTCACCATCGAGGGGGCACCGTCCACTGCAGACCTCTTCGTCATGCCGCTGGCGGGCTATGATGTGGTCCTCGGGACCCAGTGGAAAACCGGCCTGGGGCCCTCACCTGGGACTTCACCGTCGGTACGCTGTCCTTCAAGCGCCAGGGCAAGGTGGTCTGCTGGCGGGGCGCCGATGGACTGGACGCGCCTGCCCTCGTCGCCACCACCACGGGCGCGCCGGCCGCCAGTGCCCCGACCACGGAGCGCCTGCTGCTGGACGTGGTCCTGGCCGCCTTCGATGACGTGTTCGCAGAACCCCACGGACTACCGCCCCAACGTTGCCGTGACCACGCCATCCACCTCCTGCCGGGCGCCCCGCCGGTTGCTGTTCGCCCATACCGGTACCCGGTTGCGCACAAGGATGAGTTGGAGCGGCAATGTGCAGCCATGATGGAGCAAGGACTCATCCGTCGCAGCACATCAGCGTTCTCGTCCCCCGTCCTCCTCATCAAGAAAGCTGACGGCTCGTGGCGGTTCTGCGTCGACTACAGAGCCCTCAACGCCATCACCGTCAAGGACGCGTACCCGATTCCGGTGGTCGATGAACTGCTGGATGAGCTGCATGGTGTCAAGTTCTTCACCAAGCTAGACCTTCGCTCGGGCTACCACCAGGTCCGCATGCGCCTCGCTGACATCGCAAAGACGGCCTTCCGCACTCATGACGGCCTTTACGAGTTCCTGGTGATGCCGTTCGGGCTGTGCAATGCCCCCGCCACGTTCCAGGCTCTGATGAATGACATCCTGCGCGCCTTCCTCCGCCAGTTCGTCCTTGTGTTTTTCGATGACATATTCATCTATAGCTCCACCTTGGCGGATCACCTGCGCCACCTCCGCGTAGTTTTCCTCATCCTGCGGCAACACCGGCTCTTCGTCAAGCGCTCTAAGTGCGCTTTTGGCGTCGACTCCATCTCCTACCTCAGCCACATCA